AAATTTGATATTAATTTGAGTGAAGGTTAACCCGGTAACTTTTTTTTTTAGTTGAAAAATTCTAAGTTCATTGAAGTAAAATGTAATAACAAAGTTAGGATTTGTCCACAATTGAACAACCTAATAACTTATAATTCAAAAGTTGTTGAAGAGGATTTGAAGGTTGATATATAAATTGTAACATCCTAATTTAAATTTTAATAGTTAATTTGGGTTAATAAAAATTTTAAAAATTATTTAGAGATAAGCAAATTAGTAAAAGATGATTATTAAATTTAACTTAGGATATAATTTTAAATTAAAATTTAAAAAAATTAAAATTTATTAATTAAAAAATTGTTAAATTATTATTATTATTATTAAAAAAGAGAAAAGATATAAAAAAAGGAAGAAGAAGAAGAAGAAAAGTGGCTTCCTCTTTCGGCGCTCTCCTGATGCAATGATTATGTTTATATAATAATAATAAAAGAAGAGAGAGGAAAGAAGAAATAATAAAAAAATATGGGACCCAGAGTATTTTTTTTAAAAAACCCACCTCCTTCTTCGTTTCTTCATTTCTCCTTCTTTTTTTTTTCATTTCTCTTCGTGCGCGAACAGAGAGGGCGACGGCACTCAAGTTCGCCGATGCTGGGTTTTAAGGTAAGAGTTTTTGATAGGATATTTAGGGTATGATTTCAAGCTTTTCAAGACTAAATATGTATTCTAAAATTTTTCTTAGTCATCCTTCTTCTTTGTTTCTGAGTTTGTGGTGTGTAGAAAATTTAGAATTTGGAAGAGGAATGAATTTATGTTAAATAAATATGGTTTTTGAGGTTGTTAGTATAATATAAATATTCTAGAGTATAAATTTATTGATGATCTTTGAATTTGTGACTTAAGGATCAAATCCTAAACTAGATTTTTATTAAATTTGAAAATATATTTTGAATTATTGAGGTTTAGATGATTATTTGGGATGAAAAATAAATTATTATGGCTATAGGATTATGATTCTAAGCTTGAGACTCAATTTTCACATTTTTGAGTATTTTAGGTGCAAATTTATAAAATAAAAGACAATTTTGATAATAGAAATTAGTGTAGAAGTTGATTTTTAGATTATTAATGTTTATTGATGAGTAAAAAAGGAGTTAAAATTTTTACTTAATAGTATTAACTCTAGATTTGTATTAAGATTGAAATTAGAAATTATGTTATATTTTAATTTTATTATTAGAATTATTTTATTAGTTTCAAAAATTAAAACTAATATTATAAATAATATGTTATTTGTAGATTGTATTATTGGTGAAATTGTGATGGGAGAGAAATTTGTAAGAAATAATTATTGAAAAAGCCATGAGGTAACCATACTTTTAATTTGTAATTAGTGTTACTTCATGTTAATGGGTGATTATTGAGAAATTATGAATTTTGTAATATTATATAATTGTGCAATATTGTTATGAATTTGTTTGATTATTGTGGAAGGTATTGAGAGACTTGCTATTGTTGTTGTATTTATGTGTCACATGGTACGCCCCTATTGGGGCTCAATAGGTGACTTGTAAGGGCTTGGGCTAATTTACCTTTGGCCGAGTAATTTAGCACTGAGCGAGGGCTACGGCTCGAGGTTAATTAAGGGATATAAGGATGGTTGTTTGTGTGTATTGTAATATTTCTTATATTTGTTGGAATTATATTATTTTTAATTCTCACTTAATAAGCACACATTTAACTGTTCGTATATACTATTATAAATTGGCTATGGTTACTGAGACTTTTGAGTCTCATTATGTGGTTAACAATTTTTAGAAGAAGAGCTACGAGTGACACGTGGAGGAGTCCCAGAGGCTTAGTGGCATAGATCCACTGTCTCTTTGGATATTTGATTTATGATTTATAATATTTTATATTGTCAATATTAGAGCTTTTTGTTTATTAACAATTATATGAATATATAAATGTAATCATGCCTTTCAAACTATTTCTATTTTGGTATACTTTGGATGACTGTAATTTTAATATTTGGTTTATTTTGGATTGGTTAAAATGGCATGATTATGAGGCCAAATAACTGGCTTGTGTTGAAAATTGACTAAATTATTTATTTTACTTGTTGGGAGTATAAGGATAGACAAATGTGATTTAGTTTACTTGTTGAGAGTGTAAGAATAGACAAATGTGATTTAGCCTAATGACATGTGGGAGGTAAAAATTTATTTGAAATGTTATATTGTGTGAGTTGAAGCCAATTATAAATATTTTATATTAAAATTATTGATATAAAAATGTGTTTGGTGGCTGTAACCCAACTATGGTTGAGTTAAATTATTTAAAAAAATTTGGTGTATTACATAAATTATTTTAAATAACTCTAAAAATGATTCATATATTACTCAAGATGACACCATTTCAAATGGCAACACAACAATAAAGAGTTTAAATCCCGTGTAACCTTACAACAACAACAACAAAAAGCTATATTGGTTGTGCCTACTTGAAATTAAATTATTAAAAAGCCTTCAGTTCGGTGCATTCTACACTAGTACACTCAAATGGTCATGAATTTATAGTTATATTAGCTAATTAAATGTGACAAGTAATAATAATAGTAGATAATAACCACATAATTGAAATTATTTTAATAATTTGAATAATGAAAAGGATTTGAGATTTGAAAAAATGATCCCATAATTTTTATCTTAAAAAAAATAATCGAGCCAACCCATCAGCCCATGAGTTAGCCCGTTATGAGTTCAAGCTGTAATATTTCAAGTTTTTAACTTAAAATTTTTGGTGATTAAGAAGGATAAATTGATTAAAATATATAATTTTTTAAACTAATGATATTTTTGGGACATTGATAAATTTATTTAACTTATGAATTGAAGGAGTTATTGTGGTTTTCTTGGTTGATTAATGCAGGGAGTCCCCGAGCTGTAAATTTTTTTTTCTTAATATTAAATGGCAATGCAATTTTATATCCATGTAAAAAATTGATACAACTTTAACACCCCGACACATACAGTACACCTATGAACCAAAAACCAAGTGTATTATTTCATCTTTATAGAGGCAAACGAAGGGTAATTGAGTACTTTAATCACTGATTGACGCTCTCCGGAACCATACATTCATAAATCGTGGGGCCTTTAAAAGTGGAAAAACGCTGTCCGCTTGGAGCCACAACCATCAAGCAGTTACCAACAACGTGCATCGCTGCATATTTTCTATCAGCATGCACTTGGAAAATTTGCAATGCTCTATTAAACTAACTTATCTCTCGCTGCTCTCACCAATTTCTACTTGGTTCTTCCAACCACCGGAATTAAGGGAAACTTATTATACATCTACTCATCGTATGGTTCTTAACAAAACAGTCTAATCAAGCAAAGGCATGTTTAATTACTGGATCAATCTTGTTGAATGCGTATAATATAATTGATGTCTCTTGAGTTTTTGTCTCAGAAAATGATGGTCTACGAAACCATTTTATACATATACTGTTGGAATGGGAAGTGCATAAATAATAAACTGAGACAAACAAGACAAAGCAATTGAAAATTATAAAAAAAAAATAGTTAGAGAAAATAATAAAAAATAACACGTAAAATTTAACGTGAGAAAAGGACCCCAAAAAAAAATAAAAAACTAGCTCGTACCTCCCGACTAGCGTACCTCCCGAAACAATCGTGGTTCCTGAATATTGTCCCTTCTGACAAAATGATGGGTTTATCAAATCTTATATATACATATACATACTATATACAGAATCCCGAAAGGATTTGTCGTTAATGTGGTTTTGTTCCTTCTCCAAAATATTGCTTACCAAATCATAAAAGTCTGACGCCTGTTTATGGTGAAATTCTATTCAACTGCGTTACCCTATATTAATTGACGCGAACATCATCTATCTACTTACTTACAATAAACTGTAGATATCTATAGTGACGGGAGCTGGCTCTCTTACCTTTCCACCGTCTTCTCCTTCTGATAGATCTTCCCCCATTATCATGGCCCGTTAACAGGCGAGCTGGCGAGTTTTATAAGTTGTTTCCAGCGTCAGCTTTTTTCAAGTACTTTGCCCAAATTTGACTCCCCTGTGATGGTGTTCCTTATTTATCTCAGCAGCCCTTGACCATATAGTGATTTTTTCAAAAAAAAAAAAAAAAATTTGCCCCTCCAGGTCTATCTCTGTATCTGATAGCTTTGAAGATACTTTATATACTTCCAGACCATCGTGAAGTGGAAGGTTAAGACTTGTTAAAGAGGCTGAAGCCCCACCAAAACATTTTTAAAATTATTAGCACATTTGAAGACTTTACTGATCTTCCCTCATTTTTAATTCTCCAAAACCAAGCATCCAAAGAGTTGATGAAACACTTCCTACTTCGGTCAAACACTACTAACTTATTCAAGTTATACAGTCCCCATTTCTGATAAAGTTAAGCCTCTCATTCATTTGTTTCACCACTAGTTGGGAGATACGGGTTTCGAGTAAGGAGAGAGAGAGATAGAGAGAGAGGGAGGAGCCAGGAGGGGCACATGCACGCATATGCTCATGTCACCCGAGTCGGGCCAAAATAAATAAATAAGTTTTAATGAGAATGCAGAATACTCTCTCTAACAAGGATCTACTTGTAATACTTCTGGCTATCCCAAAGCCAAATAAAATCATATCTAGAGCTTCCTGCCTGGAACTACTCAAAATAACCTATTGCCATAATTAACTCAAATCCCGGGTGTGGAGACCATGGATAAGCCACACGCAGCTCTGCTTTCAGCCCAGCCTCGGCCATCTGATCCCCGTGATTGAGCTTGGAAATCTCCTCGCCCTCCGCCTCAATTTCAAGGTCACAATCCTCGCCGTTACTTCCCAAACCTCCGAAGCCGATCCCACATTCTCAAATCAGCCACCTCCTCCATCAACTTATGTGACATCCTCGAAATCCCACCCGCAGACCTATCTGGCCTTCTAGAAGACGAAGCCCGCCATTGTCGAACGCCTCTGCGTCATCATGCGTGAAACCAGGGCGCTGTTCGTTCTGCGATTTGCTAACATAGCCCCCCCTCCTTGTGTACTCATTGTTGATATCTTCGGCTCCGAATGTTTGTCCTGGCAGAAGAGCTCCGCATGCTTAAGTATATTTACGGTCGCTTCCAACGCTTGGTTTTTCTCCTTGCTTTGTACTCTCCCATCCTGGATCGACAAGTGCAAGGCCAGTTCGTGGATCAGCAAGAACCCTTCCAAATCCCAGGTTGCAGTCCAGTTCGTCCCCAAAGACGTGGTGGATCCCATGCTGAACCGCAACACCAGGCTATCAAGAGTACATCGGCCTGGCGATGGGGATGCGAAAAAGCGACGGATACTGCTGAACACGTGGGAACAACTCCAGCACAGAGGCCTTCGATCACTGAGAGATGAGAATTTATTGGGCGGGATGCTAAAAGTTCCCGTGTATGCCATTGGACCCTTGGTGAGGCCATCAGAACCACCGACAAGTTCAACCATGGAGTTGCTGGGGTGGCTGGACCAGCAACCCAGTGAATCAGTGGTTTTACGTGTCGTTTGGCAGCGGTGGAACGCTGTCGTACGAGCAGACCGCAGAGGTGGCTTGGGGTATGGAGTTAAGCCAACTGAGATTCATCTGGGTGTGCGTCCGCCAAACAGAGGACATGCAGACTCCGCATTCTTTCGCACCGGCGATGGCAACCGTGAAATGATGATCCGTCCAATTATTTGCCAGAAGGGTTCGCGGGTAGGACCCACAAAGTGGGGAAATTAGTTGCCCACTGGGCAGCCCAAGTGAGCATTTTGAGGCATCCATCGGTGGGGGATTTTTGTCGCATTGTGGTGGAGCTCCGCTCTGGAGAGCATCACGAACGGCGTGCCGATGATCTGCTGGCCGTTATATACGCGGAGCAGAGGATGAATGCGACGCTGCTGGCGGAGGAATTGGGGGTCGGGGTGAGGCCGAAGGTGTTGCCGGCGGAGAAGGTTGTGGGAAGGGAGGAGTGGCGAGGATGTTTGAGAGACATCATGGAGGTGAGACCCAACCCCGTAAGGGACAGAGCCAGAGAATTGAAGGAGAGTGCAGCCATGGCTGTGAAGAGAGGCGGCTCGTCCTACACAACGCCCTTGACCTCATCGCTAAACAATGCAGGGCAACCTGACATCATCTCCCGCCAATCAATTTGGGCTTTTATTTAATTTAATTCGTCTCCGTCTGTTGTCCCTATTCTCTTCTTACGTGCGTGTTTGATATGTTCGCTCTCCATTCGGTTTTCAGTGTAAAATTTCAGCAACCTTGTTTTATTGGCTTAAATAATTATCTACTGAGCATACTTTAGATTATCTGGCATTGCGTCTCGTCTACGCTAATTTCCACTTCACAAACCTCCAGCAGGCTCATTGCTAATCACTGAGACTATGTGTAGATCTTATCTCATCTGAAAGAACAGAGATATTTAGGCCCTGGTTGGTTCGCGCTGAAACCATTTCAAGAGAAATGGAATTAGAAAGGGAGTGAGAGGGAAACGTCTGGTATATGATAAAAGATGGAGGAATCAAGAAATTATTTTTATTTGATTTATGTCGTAAAATATGAAAAGTGAACAATACTTTCCATCTTTATATCTTCCTCTCCCCTCAAACAAAATTTTCTCAAAAATAAATCCAAAAATTCAAATTATCCACCAAAAACAGCTGAGCACGACTTGTCCACTTGAATCGCTGACCAAGTCTTCGATCTCGCGCATCCGAAGGGTTGCCATCATGCTAGATTGTTGTGGCCTTCAGATCCTGAGACGAAGAGGCCAACGCTGTAGTAAAGGAGACAAAATAGAAAATACGACAAACAAAGAATAGCTTGTACTTGAGAGTGGAATGAATGAATATTTATTTATTGGAGCAAAATGGTAAGTACAAAAAGATCTCCATCACAGCTAAAATTTAAAGATTATTTTATAATATACTTTTCAAAATCCTTGACATAACCTTATCACAATTGTTAAATCTATCAAATATAATATTATTATCACATGGACTTAGATCACATTGGCCCAAATGTACTTGTGACTCAATTCAAAATTCGCCACCGTCCGTTGCACAACTGGCCCCCAAGCCACAAAGATTTGTACGTGCAGAGTGATATTATCCAAAAATTTGGTTTAGCTCGGAAGGTTTGTAGGAGAAGGTTGAAGGAGTTTGAGGGTGGCCCAGAAATTTTGAATTCACAGAGGATATGTGATGAAAATTATATTTGATTTGAGTTGATTTAGAATTTATTAAGATTTGATTTAGCATTTAAGGATTGATATTATTTCTTTAATATCTTAAATTTATTTTATTTTTAAGTATTATTTAAAATAAAATTAAAATGCCTAGACTAATTAGATACTTTATCATCATCTTTTGAATTATAATTTAATTTAATTTATTATTATTTTATTATTTTTAGGACTCTATAAATAGTTTAGAGTTTTTTCACTTATATTCAATTTTGACATTTAAATAAAAAAGTATATACTTTTTCTCTTCCGCCACCCTTCTTTCTTCCCTTCTCTTTCCTATTTCACGTAGATTTGGTATCAGAGTTAAGTTCAACCTTCCTTCCTTGTATTGCTTTTATTGTTAACATCAAATTTAAATTTAAGATTTAAATTTAAATTTAAATTTTTATTATTTTTATTATTTTTAGAGTTTTATAAATAGAACTAAGTTTTTCTTAAATTATTCGATAAGATTTTTGAGAGTTTAACCTTTTGCCCGTCTCTTTCTCCTCTCTGTCTGCCCCTTTCTCTCTCTCTCTTGCCTCGTTTTCCTTCCCGTTTTACATTAACATATTAGTTAGGAAAATTAATTTTTGTAAAACAATTTTATTTTTATGAGTTTAAGATGAGAACTGAATTTTCACTCTGTTAGTTTCCTTGGATCGTGATTCCCAAGCATCGAATTTTATACGGACTAAACAAAGAAATTTGATGAATCTTTTTTCACTCCCTTTACATAAGACTCATTTCTAGCCAATCAAACGAATCATTTCTGGATATGATGTCCGTGGTATATATTAGAAAGGGGGCACTTCATATTCTCTGTATATCTATGTCAGATTGAGACTAATTAATGAGATCAGCTTAATTAGCAAATATAAAATAAAAGATAACCATTTTTTTCCACGCTCGTGTCCTTTTTTTTATTATAATTAACTTTATTTTTATCCACCCTACGGTCCTCGCTCCAAGCTTCTGCGCGCCATATATGTGTCTCCTCATAAGGTTAAACAGTGACATGGTTGCAATCCACCTTGAAGACTTCCTAAACCTCAAAGAATTAGAACCTCCCATTTGTAGAGTTGTTAATATAGGTTGAGTTTGCGAGCTTAACTCACCAACTTGTAAAAAAAAAAAGAGTTGGATTGAAAAAAAGTGAGTTTATTTTTATGTGAGGCAGTTTTAACCCATCTTATGTAACTTGTGTAATGTTGGTTATGCCTTGATATTACCAAAACAATATTCTAATACACTGTTGTGATAACTAGAATTAAGTAAAATACTTAAATAAAGTCATAACAGCTCAAGAATTTAGAATTAGATAGTTTAAAATATTGAGATCCCAGAAAAATTCTTTTAAAAAAGACATTTGAGTTCAAGCTATAGTTTAAAATAGGTTATATAAGATAGTGGAAGCAAGAATATCACATAACCTAACAAACAATCCCTAAAAAGGCATTTTTGAATGCCCAAAATAAGCTTCATCTGTCGCGCCATGGCAGATGATGCAGAGAATTAATGGTTCTCAATGTCAGGACAGCAAACATCTATCGTGATAGCACTTTAGATCCAACTTTTAAAGCATGTCATTTTACTAAGTGTCCACATGTAGTTCTTTGAACCCTCTAGCTAGTGGCACTAGTATCACACCGAAATATTTAACCATTAAAAAGTTGAACACTCAAACCCAAAATGGTTCATTTTTAAACATTAACACACACAAATGTATCCAAAACTCACAACTTAATACCAATAGCTAACTTCTTAGGCCAACTCAAAAAGACTACACACAACCTGATGGATCAATTATATCATAACAACAATAGTTCAAACACAAATTGACTACCAAATCTCTTGTTCCAGTGAATTCAAAGGAGAATAATCTAATTTCTAATAACATAATATGGCTATTCACACATACCAAACATTGGAACATCATGACTTGTACTAGTATCTTGACCTCTCATAATCATTTAATCACAAGTATATCAAATTGTAGGTCAAGATACACACATTACATAAATTCTCATACAAATGACTCAAAATATGCATGAAATTCTAAGTTGGCATAAATTTTATAACGTATTCGTTATAAAACCAAAACATAAAAGAGAAGAGTTATACAAACGAAGCTCTTCACTCCTCGTTAGTCCCTTCTTTTCTGTTTACCTCTAGAATTTCATTTCATTTCATTATATTTTTCTTAGATTCTAATTCATTTTGGCTCATTTGTATATATTTTTATTGCCTAAATTAGGAAAATGTATATTTTGCTTTGAGTTTGCATTCTTGGCTTTAATTTGATGCTTTTAAGCTAATTTGTGTTATTTTAGTTTAAGATTTAATTAAATACATTTTTGAACTTTTGTTGATACTTTTGGAAGGCTTTTGGATAAAGAAATCAAGTACAAAAGGAAAAATTTCTTTAATTGTGAAAACAATTTAAAACTGTCAAAATCATTAGAAAGTTATGACTTTTATTCGTGACTTTTTACGCTATCAGAAAAACACTACGTTTTATTTATCAAAAATTAGTTGGCTAGGACATATATATGCTGAGAGCTCGACTTAAAATGTATTCTTCAAACTTTGAGCAACTATTTAGAGCTTTATGTGCTAGGGTTTGCATGTTGAAAGAGTTAGGTCTAAAAGAATAGAGTTTTGAAGACATTTAAAACTCATTTTCTTTGATTTTTCTGCTCCTCTTCTTTTTCCTCTCTTATATTTTGATGAGTCGTATAGATAGACAAACTCTTTTAGCATATTCAAAATAATATTTTCTATAGTCATAAGTCATTTCCATTCTAGTATGATTATACTACCATCCGAACCTCCATGTCACCCTAATTGAAATCAAAGGCTCTATTGGACCAAATGCACATACACAATGACCTGAGTTTACCTTCCTATTGTTTTTCTCTATCATGTTACTCCAACACCACATCACACTAATACTAAAGAACATCAATCTTTAACACCATACCTCATATAGATACTAAGGAGATAATCTTCAATATCATACCTTACTGGGCAATAAGAAAATATATGTTATATAGACTTCCACTACTCCTTCCTACAGGTGAACTCCCACCCTCTATTATGATCACGTTTACACTTCTCATACATATTACATATTTGTATCAAAATCACAATTTACTCATATAAGAAACATTCACAATATTGTTTTAAAATCATTTTAAATGCACAAAATCTTTCTTTCACAAAATACAATGCTTTCAAAACACACATAAACAAATTACATATCTACTCACAAATAGTTAAACACTTCATCAAATAGAGTAAATTATTCTATTATCTTAATTCTCTTGTCACAAAAGGGTTACCATTTTTAACATTTGCTTCACACGCACAACAACACTCGAGCAATGTTTTATCTACACGATTAAGCAATAATTGCCAATTATCGCTCTAATTACACCCTAAATCACTAAATTTCAAATACCTACCATACCCAAAGATCTCAATTATCAATCTCAACTATTCCAACACACTTCGTTAATACCATTTAGCATCCAAACACACTAATATCACCAACCACTTACCTATATTGTTCCAAAACTCCTAATTTTAACAGAGTTCATTCAAATCCTCTCCAAAAATTCTAAATCACTACAAAAATCATAAACCTAAGTTTACACACTTGATTTAACTCCCTAAACCTTAACCAAGGGAATGGGCTCTGTTAAAATCTAAGAAAAACATAAAATCCATCCCATATTGCTCAAAACTCAAAAATTTTGCATAATAAGGGAGTAGGAGAAGTGAAGGAAGCTTATCCAAGGTGTAGCAAGCTCAAAATTGTTCCAAAATCACATTAGGGATTTGCCTTAGCTGCCCAAGCTCAGCCTCCTTTGTCTCTCTTTTGTTTCCTTCTTTTCCTCCTCTGAAATCAAACGCAGCTTAAGTCTGATTTATTTCTGAAATTGGCTGTGTGCACATGGCACAATAATTATCACATGCCCTTTCAGCCGCCCTCTCAAATTCAATTAATCCATACACCATCTTAGCTCATTTTGAGGGGATCTGGATTCATTGCCCTTTATTATTGTTTTTATTAAAAAAATGCAAAATCGGCCCACTGAAAAAAATGTTAACGGGAAGCTTTGCCAATTGCCATAACCCCAACGGAACTTCATGCTTCTAGACAAATATTATTATTAGGCCCAACTGTCCTTACGAAACCCATTCCTGGCGGACTGTGATTACCCGAGCCATGAGATTCACATGGGCCTCCGCCCAGCTTTATCCTCAATAGATTTATTTGTTTACTTGTTTTTGATAAAAATTATCAATAGATTAAATCCCAAGCCGAAATGATTTAGTTATTGATAGTTTGATGAGATTCAATTTATTATTTATCCATAATTTCAAATTTTGGCTATGCCAAAATATAGGGAAAATGCAATTATCATTTCTTATAATTTCATTAGGTTTTATTTTAAATTTCTATAATTTTTTCAGTATTTTTAATTCCTATAATTTTATTAAGATTGAATGACATTTACTACTCAAGTTCTTATAATTTCAATGTTTAGTCCTCAAAAAAAAATATAAAAACTAAAAGCAAAATTTGATAAAACTACAGGAACTAATAATTGTATTTTCTCTCAAAACATACAAAAGATGGCAAGTGAGTGATACTCCTTCAAAACGAAGCTCTAGCCAAATTATTTTTTCCAACTATACGGAGTGTCAATGCTTAAAAAGGTGAGGCCTAAATTAATGATTAATTCAAACAAATCTAAGACTATTATTTGGTAAATTACTATATATGAAGAGCAAGTGTGCGTTTTTTCATTCTTGAATTTTTAAAATTTATAATGTAATTTTTTAAGATTTCTTTAGCTTGATCGAAGTCATCAATTAAAAGCAAAGCAAGCATGCCAATAAGGAAAAAAAAATAACGAGTTAAAGCTCAACTGTATATCCATAAGATTTAACAACTAATTAAAATGAATAACCGAAAAAAAAAAATTGAGAGTTTAAGGAAGATGTAATTTGTGTCATATATCAAGCAATGACAGAAAAAATGTAATGACAAGAAAAGAAACTGAAAACAGAAGTTAGTCAAAGCACCGTGCGCGGAAAATGATCCTGACAATTAAGTCCACTGAAACGTGCGCATTTTTTCCACAAAGTCGATATTAGAAGTCCAGAGTTACCAGTGCTTTTTTGCCACAAGTGGGGATGCTAATAATTATTCGAGGCTTAGAAAATCTCCAAGGTGGATTAGAATCTTGTCATTGTCAAACCCACGAAAGGAAGAGAGGGGGAAATGGTTGAAGTTACCAAGGATCAAGGGTGAAAAACGAGTCCAGAGTCACTACGTTTTCACTTTCGACTCAACAATAAATATTTACTTTTCTTTCAAATGCGAGACGATAAACAGCGAGTCCTAGTGATTAGGGATGATGAGCCTGTTGAAAGTTGATGCAGTGGAAATTAACGCACAAGAGACGCGACATCTGGAGATTAACGCGCACTAGACGGAAGTCAGACGTGCGGGATTATCAAGTATACTCAGCCAAAACAGAGGAATAAGTCAAGCCAATAATGAAACAAGGAAGCTCATATATTTTAAAATGAAAACCGAACGGGAAGCCAACATATCAAACGCGAAAGGAGAGGATGGGGCCCACAAAAAAAGACAAATTAAAAGCCTAAAATGATTGGCGGAGGTGATGGCAGGTTGCTTTGCACAGGTTAGCGACGAGGTCAAGGTCGTTGTAGGACGAGCCGCCTCTCTTCATGGCCATGGCCGCGCTCTCCTTCAACTCTCTGGCTCTGTCCCTTATGGGGTTAGGCTTCCCCTTCATGACGTCTCCCAACATCCTCGCTATCTCCTCCCTTCCCATCACCTTCTCCGCCGGCAACACCTTCGGCCTCACCCCGACCCCCAATTCCTCCGCCAGCAGCGTCGCATTCATCCTCTGCTCCGCGTATAACGGCCAGCAGATCATCGGCACGCCGTTCGTGATGCTCTCCAGAGCGGAGCTCCACCCACAATGCGACAAAAATCCCCCTACCGACGGATGCCTCAATATGGTCACCTGGTCAGACCATTGCGGGACCAATTTTCCTGTACTGCGGGTCCTATCAGTAAACCCTTCTGGCAAATAATTTGACGGATCTTCGCTTGCAAGGTTTCCAGTCGTGGTGCTAAAGAATGCGGAGTCGGCATGTCCTCTGTGTGGGGGACGCACCACCCAGATGAATCGCAACTGGCTTAACTCCAGACCCCATGCCACCTCGAAGGTCTCCTCGTACGACAGCGTTCCACCGCTCCCAAACGACACGTAAACCACTGACTCGCTGCGTTGCTGATCCAGCCACCCAAGCAACTCCATGGTTGAACTTCTGGGTGGTTCTGGTGGCCTCACCGAGGGTCCGATGGCATACACTGGAACTTTTAGCTGCCCGCCCAATAAATTCTCATCTCTCAGTGATCGAAGTTCTTTGTGTTGGAGTTGCTCCCACGTGTTCAGCAATATAGCATCGCCACTATGCATCGCCGTCCCTATGCCGAGGTACTCTTGATATTGCCGAGTGTTACGGTCCAGCATGGGATCAACCACCTCTCTGGGACGAACTGGACTGCAGCCTGGGAGTTGGAACGGTTCTTGCTGATCCACGAACGGGCCTTGCACTTGTTTATCCAGGATGGGAGAGTATAAAACCAAAGAGAAAAACCAAGCATTGGAAGCTACGAAAATATACTTGAGCATTCGGAACTCTTCCGCTATGGACATACATTCGTAGCCGAAGATATCGACTATGAGCACAGAAGGAGGGGAGGCCATGTTACATAGTGCAGAACGAACAGCGCCCTTGGTTTCACGCATGACGACGCAGAGGCGCTCTACGATGGCGGCTTCGTCTTCGAGAAGGCCAGAGAGGTCCGCTGGTGGGATCTCGAGGATGTCACAGGAGTTGATGTTGGAGATGGCTGATTTGAGAATGTGGGATTCGGCTTCGGAGCTTTGGGAAGTAACGGCGAGGATTGTGACCTTGAAATTGAAGTGGACGGAGAGAAGCTTTCCGAGCTCGATCACGGGGATCAGATGGCCAAGGCCTGGGCTAGAAAGCAGCGCCATGTGTGGCTGATGCATGACCTCTGTGGATGGTTGTGGAAGATGAGGGCTATGGCTATTAGTTATGGCTGGTGAGAAGGACCGAAGATAGGATGGGACTCCATTTCGGCATGATGATACCCATCAGTGTAAATGGACCATTCAAATTTTATTCGTACAGATTTAAATTATTATTATATATCTTTATTTTATATTATATATTATATTTCAGCCTCACATGCTCGCTCACGCGCTGATGGAAAGTGTTATCCACTCCCCCTTTTATGCACATTTCTCCCTCCAGCTCCTTTGCATTCAGACTAAGGGTGTTCAAAATCGATTTAAACCGAAAGGATCGATCCAAACTAATCCAAACCGACAAAAATTAATCAAAACCGAACAACAATCAGGTCTGCTTCGGTTTTTATGATATAAAAACCGATTGGTTTGATTTAAGTTTAGTTTTGAGTACTAGAAACCGAACCAAACCGAACCAAACTTGATTAAAAAAATTTTATTTATTTATTTATAAAATATATAACTATTTATCTACAAGAAGAATTTTATTTTGAATTTTTTATAGTAATAAATAAATATTTTTAAAATACTTGAATGAAAATGTATAATATTAAGTAATTATAATAATCATGCTATGATCATCATTTAATTATTTACAACCTAAAAGCCTCAGCATTCAATTTATCTATAAGAAACATTTTGTTTTGAATTTTGTATAATAAATTTTTCATTATTTATTAAAATATAGATACATAGATAAACATTTTCAAAGGATTTTAATGAAAATACATAATATTAAATAATTTTAATCTTAAAAACTTATATAAATTTTTATGATTAATTATTGTTATCACATTCAAAATTTTATTACATTTTTATACCTTTATTTATGAAAAAAAAGGAGTCAAAAAGAATTAAATTTAATTTTAGTACATAGCACCATTATGAAGATAGGGAAAAGGAAAAAAAAATTAAATAAGTGCATTAAAACTTGATCAAGACCTTAACCAAATCGAACCAAATCGAAAATAAAACCGAATCAAACCGAACTTTATAAAAATCGATCAAGTCTTAATTATCAGTAAATCGAATGGTTCGGTTCGATTTGATTTTTACCCAAAACCAAACCAAACCAAATTTATGAACACCATTAATTCAGACGATGTGGGACTTTGTGTTGGTGGAAGGATCAATACAAACGCAACTGTGTGACACCTGAGATGGACGCCGCTTCTACTCCGTTTTTTTTTTAATCCAGTGTTTCTTTGATTTTTATTGATTCATTTTACTTAATCCTTAAATTATTTTTACAGTGAGGGCATAAATCTTTAATTTTTTATACTTCTAATTATTTATCTATATTTGTATATAAAGTTTATCTTCCGAATTTAGTTTTAATAAGCCTCTAAAATACCTATTCTTAAATTCTCTTGCCAATATTATATATTAATAAAATGATATTTCATTAAAAAGAGTAAATATTGATAAAATGTTACTTATCATGTAATATTTGATATATAAAATCTTAAATATAATAATTAAATTTATAAATGGTTTGATCATGATTTAATTATTAACCCTTAAATCAATGTTTTATCTATTTTAATGACCCATTCCATTTTTCAAATCTTGGATTGAATGGACATTAAGGAAACCTGATGTTTAAATTCACTAGCAGTTCACCTCTACATTCATTAATTTAAAAATTAATAATTTGATTGTAATTGAGCCGGACCAATTATACTTAATTTAATATTTTTAAATAATATATAAAATTATAGAATAAATTCTTTCATAATAATAAACTAATATTTAAACAAAAATAAGAAAAATGATATATTATTTATAATTTATATTTTAATTTATTTAAGAGAATAAAAATATATTTAGTAATTCTCATCCTCTCTATTTTACAGATACGAATAACATAAATATTTTTATACATACTCCCCCTGATTTTATTTATAAATCACATTTTAAAAAATCTATTTGATTTCATTTATAAGTCATGGTATGATTTTTTAATTAATATTTAAAATGTATTTTTAAAATTATCCTTCATGAAAGAAAAAAATAACATGACATTATTTTTTAAATTTTTTATATAAGGATATATTTAAAGTTTTACATATTTTTGTTTTTATATTTTTTTGTATTGATATTGAAGGGATGGATAAAAATAATTTATAAAAATATTAAATAACACTTGATGCTATTAATTTAAAATTCTTTTTAAAATATTTTATCATATATCAATAGCCTTGATTTGTTCGATAAAGAGGGTGAGTACTGGTAGTTGATGTAGGCTCGGGCATTAAGAGGATGAGATACGATATTTTGTTTCATGAAAACAGTGTCATGTAATAAATGAAGTAAATATCAGAAAAATACAAATGACGAGGGATTGGGAGACGAGACTGTAAATTTTGCCGGTTCTTTGAGTACTGCGAAGGCAGAGGTCGTGTGTTGTCCAATAATTGGTTTCATATAAATTTGATGAGATAGATTGATATCATTGGCATTATTTGCGGCCCCTATTTCAACCATAGGTTCCACCGTCTGGTCGCGGGAACCATTCTTTCTTTTCGATCGTCGCCATTCCCTTTTTTTTTTTTTAATATATAAAGAGACAAATAAAACTGTCAATTAGTATTAAGTTGCCGATCCTTTTAAATTTAAAAATAACTTAAATCAGGTATTTATTTAAAAAAATATAATTTAAACTTAAAAAAATCAATCTTTTAAACTTAAAAATAAAAGGATCAGCCTTTTATGATTAGAGCTTATCCTTTTAAGTTCTTTTATTTTTTTAAAACTATAATATAAAAAAATAAAAAATTAAATATATAATAAAAAATAAACATATTAAACTCATTCATCCCTTCTTTATTTATTCATTAAAATTTAATTAATAATATTAATTAAGTTTAATTTTTATTGATATTAATTTTAATGTTGTTATTTGATATTAAACTTAAATGTTTGAGTTTTTTTATTTGTTATGGTGTAAATTTTTTTAAATTTAATTTTATATATAATAATTTTTTTAAAGATTATAAATATATTTTTTTAAAATTTTATATTAAAAAAATTAAAAAAAATTAAGGTCGACCTTTCAATTTTAAAAGTTAAGGTTGACCCTTGTAAAAAAAAGCTTTGAAGCAGGATCGAACTTGACAGCTATAGAAACAAATCAAGGTTTCAAAACAGGATTGAAGCTCAGCTAAAGCAGAGCATGTCAGAAGAGACAGTCTCCACATAAAATTCAGGACACGAACGGCAATTGAAACTGGCTATCCGAGGAATGGGCATGCCTTGGAGTACTATCTGCACATCTAGTTGACTCCTTGTGAGTATGACTAGCGGAGATGCTCCAATCTTGACATACAAGATCTCTGATCTCAGTAACCAAAATCCTAAGAGGATAACAAAATCCACACTTCTTGAAAATAAGGCTGACAGCTTTCAGAGGATCAGAAAAGACCTTATATATCATATCCTTTTTAATTAGAACTATATAAAAGATTGAATGATATTGAAATTTAATTTAATTTAAAATTTAATTTTTTTATTAAAAAAATTGAGTTAGATAATACGTAATTTTATCTTGTTTAGTAATAATTTAAAAATTAATAGAATTAAACTTAATTTATAAAATTGAGAGATTGATTCACTTAGTTATTTTTTTTTCTCAATGAGCAATAATAATTCATTTTAATTTAATAAATTTAATTAAAATAATAAAAACACTTATAATTATAATAAATTAATAAGTCTACAATAATTTTCAAAAACAAGAAAAAAAATTTCAATTACAATCCAAATATTTTAAATTTATATCTTCAACAAAAACAATAATCAACAAATTTCAACAACACTATATTACAATAATAATTTAAAAACAAACTCAACAAATCTTTATACAAGTATCTTCTTAGTGTCAATTACTCTTAAAGCATTTGTCAAAAATAAATTAATTATAATTATATTAAATAAATTAATAAGATCGAATTGGACTAAGTGGTCCAAATGTCCAGTCTCTGATTCAGTCCAACCTGAAGAAATAGTTTAATTTTTTTAAATTTTTTTAATCTTAAAGGATTAATATTTATACAAACAAGACATGACTATCAAGGTTCGGGCTAACTCAAAAAGTATTGAAGGAGTTTTACATAATCCTACTAAAAGCATACCTTAATTAAGTCCCATTCTGAGTTGTATAAGTTCAGCTTCCACCACCACCGATGTCAAGCCACTCTTATGTTGGAAACCTAAGATTTGATTTGATTCCATTCCGCTGATCTCTCATCCCCCCACGATCGCGATGGCGAAGAGTTGCCAGCCAGTTATTCTTTAGAAAAATATCAATCAAGACAACTAAAAAAAATTATAACAATTAAAAATCATTTGTTAAAATTTAAATGAATATTTATTAATTCAAGTTAGTATTTTATTAGTAAATATTTATTAACGATAATTTATTTAGTCAATTAATTTTTAATTGATATAAATTTTTTTTAGTATTGATTTTTTTATTCTTTTATTTAAAAAAATAAATTACAATTTTTCCATTTATCACGGTACCCATATAAACGCTCACGCACAAAGCGTTTAAAATTGAAATATTTATTAAAAGAGAATTTCAAAAGGATTTATCATATTCGAAGGAACTAGAATGAAGTAAAAAGGCAGGAACAAATCACAAGATTGAAAGACTTCAGGGAAGGATCACATGCAACTTGAGCAAGTTTACCTGACAAGTAATGATTACAAATTGACACGTGAGGTTTGTATTTTAAGAAAAAAACGAATAAACAGAATTCTATTTCACCCGTTAATCTAAAATATTTTTAACTAAATTTTTCTCTTAATAAAATAATTACTTACTTTTAACTTAACTTTATTTTTTTATATTTATTTTTATTAAACATTAAGAAAAGATAATAATTATATCTCAAAAGATTGAAATTTTTTATTTTTTTAATATCCAACCCTTTAAAAAATATCTTGTATTTTTGAACAGAAGGGGTAAAATACATATATAAAAAGGGTATCACGGTAATCATGATTTAAAAAAAATTCATCTTGATGAGATGCATAACAAAAATATATA